CAAACACCTTCCTCCCCTTCCCCACCAAACATCGGTAGGATTACAATTTAACTGTCTCTTTCCGCCTTACTTTAGCTGTCCAATATTCGTTTATATACTCTTTTTTGTCCGTATTATTATAATTATTATTTGCCTATGTTCTTACCTTGAAAATCACATTTAATCAGAGGCGGAATGAAACAAAATGATTTTTTTATTTGACAACTTCAAATGTGTTTACTACTACATGTAATATACCTAGTACATGAAATTGAAATGCCGGACAGCCGGACACTTTACAAGATTTTAAAAAAGAAAATTAAATTTAAAAGTCGTTTCAGTGCTGAAAGGTCGTTCTCTCTTTGATTCATGTTTGTTATGTTTCCATTTACATTATCCTACCTAACCTAAATCCCGATAAAGACTTTATAAAATAATCATAAGCAATGAGAAAAGAATGAAATGAAAAGAGTCCTCAAATATGCGCTTTTTTATTCCTTGAGCTCCTTGATCTCTTGAGCTGTCTGAAGGTCTTTTTTCTCTAGGTCATTCTGTGCTTTCTGCAAATCTTTCATAAATGTGATGGCCAGGTCACGCACGTTTCGGCGGGATTGCTCGATCGTTGGGTTCTCTTCGAGGTATTTGTAGAGATCTCCACGTGTGTCTTTTATCTGCTGCATGTAATTGCCACAAACCTCGTCCAAAGCTACCCACTTAGCGTAGTAATTGATGGCTTTTTTCTTGAAAGCAGAAGATGTCCAGATTTTCATTCGTCTCGCCTCATCACATTTCTCGACCGCTGTTTCAATCTGTTTTTGAACTTCTTCTCCTGCAAGAGCTTCGCAGTGGGTCTGCATTTGCTTCCAAAACTGAGCTGCATTCATCATGATTACAGAGAGAGATTTCAAGGCTCCCACCGAGTTATGCAGGGCATCAATGGCGACTTGTGCAAGTTCATCGTCACTTCGGCAGTTCTTGATCCGCTCTGCAAACTCGATGCACTGCTGATTCGCTTCTCGTCTCATTTTTTGTTGCTCCTTCATAGTCTCTAAATGTTTCATTTTCTCCTCACGGGCTTTATCCATAGCTTCTTTGTATACAGTTTTGTCCCCAATCTCGGAAATGTTTTCAAGCACATTTTTAGGGTTTAAAGAAGCTGCCGATACACCAGCACTGATAACTTTTGAGACTGTATTAGTAAAAGCTTTTAGGATGCTACCTTGGTCTTCATAGGCTTTATCCTCGCGCTTTTGAGCTTCGTCGAAAAACTTCTGGGCCTTTTCCTCAGCCTCGTTGGCTTCCTTTTTCAGGTTTTGGGCTTTCTCCAACTTCATTTTGAATTCCTCTCGTTGTTTTTCCAATTCCTTTTTTCTTTTTTCTTCTGTACCTTTAGCAGTTTGAGTGTCCTCCAGAGCGCCTTGCACATCACTTGTTGCTGCTTCAAAGTCCTTGTGCAGCTCTTCAGATGCCTTTGCCATCTTCTCAGCCAATGCGGCTAAACCTGAGAGAGTCGCGAGCGCCATATCCTCCAAGCCATCCAAGAGATACTCATAGGTCCCTTGTAGCTCTTGCAGAACATCCCTCGATGTGGTTTTAAAACTGTGAACGGTTACAGCGGACTTGTCTGCTAGTTTAGTTATCTTATAACCAACGCGTTGGACTTTGATCTGCAGTTCCGTGTGGCCCGCGACTCCATTATACGCGACACGAATGAAGCTTCCAAGTTTGGAGAGATCGGTGACAAGGCCTTTCAAGTCTACAGCGCCAAGAAGTGCATCTTTGGCTTGTCGAACCAGAGCAGTTTTGGCATCGGGAATTTTATCAAGGTAAAATGTTTCTTCGCCAATGACAACGTCTTTCTTCACGAGAGCCATGATTTGCGTCTATGTAGATCGAACGCTCGAATGAAATGACAGTTCTTGGAAGCAGTAACACTATGCATCTCAGCGTTACACTTTTAAATATATATACAGCGTTACACTTATTATGTCTGGCCAATCCACGATCGAGTCTACGATCATAACATGCCTTATTATCGTTTCTGACAACGATGACAATCAAACCACAAAAATACCCAGGCTTCCTGTTTGCGCCAGAATATAGCATTACGCATTTCTGGGAATCTTGACTATCATTTGATATGAAAAAATATAGATATGAAAAGGAAAGTGGACAAGCCGTAATGCCTGTTTCATCTAATCTCCAGCCGATAAAAGAGCAACAATATACTAGGCAGTTGGATTAAATTAAAGAGAACAACTGCCTGAAAAAAGGAAAAGTTAAGGTCATCCCAAAATGAGGACATTGTCAACAATCACAAAACGCTATCAACAACCGGACGAAAATATTTACCTCAAAAATTGATTAAACTTTTGGAAATAACTTAAGTATAATTTCTTTGGCACAGCAATAAATGTAAAGACAAGAGCTAATAGCTACAATACATTATTGAGTAGAAAAGCATCTTAGAATTTTTCAAGCATTGACAGAAGAGACTTGTATGGCGTTACAAATGACAATAATTTAATTTTAATTTAATTTAATTTATTAGCTTTGCCCCTATGGGCAGGGACACCGCAACAGCGTGAGCCAATTACTGCGGACCCTGTACTCTCACACTCACTACCTCTATATTAAGTGTTTTAGCACACAACACTCCTCACATGTTAATTTTTGCTGAGGGAGGAAAACCGRAGGRCCCRGAGAAARACCCTCGTGGCAAGGGAGAGAACAACACATCAAACAAACTCAAACTCACATATGGTCCGTGTCCGGGAATCGAACCCGGACCACAGCGGTGAGAGGCCAGTAGCTTAACCACTAGGCCACCCATGCCACCCAAAATAAATCTATGTAACCTTCCTGTTCTTCTCGGAATCTAGCGTTACTTATTTCTGGGAACCGTGAAAATTAATTGTCATCAATAAATTGCTTTGGGGTGGCCACTGTATTTTTCTTCAGTCACAATTGTACCCAAATAAGGACTATAGGAAACTGAAACAAGTTAGAATACCTAGGGGTACCCGTGGACATCTTATCTTAACCCTATAAGAAATAATCATCATGGCAGTCGTCTTTGTCCAAATCATTCTCTAACTGCTTTAACTAAGTATAAAACGCTTGGGTGCTGCTATAGAGCGAGAAAAGCTTGAGAAGGCGGGGAACATTCTTTGCTCATTAAGGAAAGAGGCGAATGTGAAAAATATCAAGTAAGCCTCAGTTGCTTTGAGGAGCAAAAACCGAGGGAAATTGAGGAAATGTCGTCAAGAATAAACGACTTATACAACCAAGAGAGGGACTTAAAACGAGAAAAGAGCGAGTTGTGCGTACAGAGAACAGCTTTGAAAGATCGAAAACAAAGAGAACAAAAATATTTACAAGACGCACAGCAAAGTTACCATCAAGCGGAAACAAATCAAAAAAATGCGAAAGAGGAGGTCAATCACTTATAAAAAGATGGTGGTGGCTTCCTGTTTACGGTCAAATCTTGTCCGTACGAGAATTAATCGTAGACTATTCAGGGCAAGCACGCAAAGCTAGAGCTGATATGGCGCTTTACCAACAGAGGATTGGTGACGCACAAAGACAGATCAATACTGTTGGCAATAAAATGGACCAAGTAAAACTAAAAAAAAAATCCAGCTAAAAGGTGACAGCGTCAGAATTCTTAAAGGACAACGGGATGATCTCCACGAAAATCTCGGCACTGCCAAAAAAACATCTAGGCTTTTTCTAGAGGCTTCAACCTTCTGGGAGACCATAGCTAAATTGAGTGACAATGCCTTTACGAAAACCGCTCGACTGCAAAAGATATATAATTTCGTTGCAAAGATTAAGCTTAGGAGCAAGATTATAAAAATACTAAATAGTGATGGTACAAGGACTTTGATGGGATCATTTAAAGAGTGCTGGATGGAAATAGAAAATATGGTGCAAAACAGCAACTTTCTTATAGTTGAAGACACTACCTATCTTGAACATGCTTAAGAACTATGCCTGCTGATTGTTAATGATTGGTAATGATAAGTAAGTGATAAGTAAGCTCCAAGTGCAGATTCGATAAAACTATAACAAAGCACCATGTCTAGAATGTGGATGAAACTTTATAAATAGCGCGTTCTGAAGGTTCTGTCACAATTGTAGATTTTCAAATTGGTAATTTTACATTACTTTTTTATTTCTTATAACTTTTTTAAATTTTACCATTTTGTAATGATGAATTCATCAGTTCAAAATCGGGCTTCTTAAAACAATTATTATTAAGCTCCAAAGTTCTAAAGTTCTTCGTGTTTTGTTCCATCTGTATCTTTTTTCCCATCTAATGTCTTGGCCATGATTTCTTTGTCCTCTTGTAAGTGCCGATCGTAAAATATACCTAAACGAGACAACAGAGTGAGGGGGCAGCATGCCGTGTCATAGTAAAGTTTGCTAATAAACTTCTTGCCTCTGTAGTCTTTGTTATAACTGTCGTCCGGAGATTTTATCCTTTAAGTAATTGGACGAAAACTTGACTTCTTATGCATTGAAATGATTATAGATGCAACAAAAATCGGCATCCGCAGGTTTAAGCGGCAAAGGTATGATCTATATTTATATATACACACAAAGCTAGGCAACACGAAAGAGGTCCACAGTGTGTTCTTGCTCGAAGCTACAAGCTTTTGGGATTCAATCGCCAACATACATGAGCAAAAATGCCACTGAGAAAACTGTCCGACTGCAAAAAAAATCTTTAATTTATTTTGCTGCAAAGCGCAATAATAAATTAAGATATTGCAGAGTAGTGGAACAAGGACTTTGAATTTTTTTCAAGTTAAAACTAACTTGAAAATATGATGCGAAATAATGACTTAGTTATCGTTAAAGAGGACTTTCAGATTGATTATTAGTACTAGCGATTATTGGAAGCATTGGAAAATCATTATTTCTAAAAGCCATGCACTGACCTGATTTATCGTCGTCTCTTATTTTCTTGTAAAGTTCAAGCACGTTTGCCAAGTTCTCTTCTACTTCATCAGCTGTTGCTTTATCTTTAGATTTGGGTTTCAACATTGCAAATAACTCCCGTGCAACTTTTTCCGATCCACCAAGATCCTATGTTAATGATATATAAAAAATTGAAGAACATCTAAGTGATTTTGATCAAGGAAAGTCCGTTTTCTGTCGTTTTTTTTTTTCGTTGGTGTTGTTGTTTTTTCTTTTTCTTTCTATCTACAGTAAAATATTAGGGATACATCTACTAATATCAGTGTTTTTAGATATATCAAAATAACTTTTTGGAAATATTTTAGAAAATCCTGAATCCACCCATGTACTGTATACAATAAAATAGAGTAATATTAAATTATAATCTATAAGTAGTCTACAATTTACCTTGTATTTTTGTATCAATTTTTGTAAATGGAGTTCTCCATTTCCTTCTTCTAGAGCATCTTGAAAAGCATCTCTAAAAATAATGATGAATCAACTTTGCAGGTTGGAATTTAATAAATTGTGGATATGGTTTTGAGTCGTATGTGGTCTTATTAACCAACTCCTTCTGTTTGATGTTCAAAGTCAAGTGGACCAACAAGAGCATCGATACGCTCGATGTGAGAATTAACTCAAGTGTTCTAAAAACTTTATTTGCTTTACATTGAATTCGTATTCTGGTGAGGCAGATAATGGTATTTAATGAAAGTATCAGGATATCGCCCCATGGCATTGAATTGGAAATCAATACAGGAAAAATTAAGCCTTGTGATCTGCAATCCAGGCACTTTGAAACAGGATGTATGCGTTACGTTCTTACCTTACTTCCGCTTCACCAAACAGGACATGTTCATATTCCTCAGTGTTTGCATAATCAGGATCCACAATATCAGCTATAGCTTTAAGCTTATCCACTGTTAATGCCATGATATCATCCTTATTGGCATAACCCTTCTTATTTGGGTCTAGTACATTGAACACCTACACAGAAATGACATTACTAGCTGTGTTTTGGGATACCTGTGTGTTGTACATGTGCTCCCTGTGTGGGACACTTGTCTTACTTTCTCTTCTTCTTTTCATTTTCACTACATTCAACAGTTTAAACCTTCCCTTTATTCCTTTCTCCCATTTTCACATGAATACTTGAGTTTTCGTATGTTGGATCCTTATGTAGGACACCCCTAGTGGCTTTTCATTCTTCTCTTGTCACATTTCTCTGTACTTTCCTTTCTTGAACATGAAACCCACCTTCCATCCCTCTATTTTTTTCTTTCCTTCCTTCTTAGCTTTCTCTCTTATACAACCCACTCTCCATACCATACTCCCACCTCCCATCCCTCTATTTTTTCTCTCCTTGTTAGCTTTTTCCCTTTACAACCACATACCACATACGACATACTACACTCCCACCTTCCATCCATCTATTTTTTCTTTCCTTCCTTGGGGAACAACTTGGGGGCGGAGAGAAGCGTAGGACCCAGGCCCCGTCTGAAAATCAGGCTATCCTTCTTAGCTTTCTATCTTTTATGAAACACTCCCATTACCACACTCCCCTAAAACTAACTAACCACCCTCTCCCCCTATCCAAAAACATAACCACATGTGACAGGGTCACTTTCGTGACCAATGTCAGTAATTTTTGGATTACATAATTAAGCATTTGTTTTGTAGTTAAAACTGTTTTACTGCAAATTTAAAATATGATTTAGTCAATTATTTGTAATTAGTTCTATTGTTAATGTGTTTTTAGGTTTTTGTGT